CCCCACCAATCCAAGACGAGACCCCAAAGCACCGCCGCTTCTCCATCCTAAGGTTTCGCAACGCCTCCGACTCTCAGCTCTCTCTCAGAGCCAAGCAGCAGGCCGAGAAGCCTCCGCCGATGCCCCGGCGTATGTGAAGACTTGATCATGTTGTGAAACATCTTGCTGACGCAAAGTAAGCCCCCGAAATCATCACCACGGCGCCTGTACTCGAGATACCTGTTCCCCAGAAGAAACAGTCCCGTATGCGTCTCGCCGATCGCTTTCGAAAATCAGGCGAAATGCCCAGAGCAAGCGAAGAGAACATGACAAGAGCACACACCTGGAAGAACAGGAGGACCCCCGGGCTGGAAGAGCTCGCTGCGAGGAGTCGACCAACTCTGGTGACATTTGAAGAACCTGTTTTCAAGACTTCTTCATCGCGGACGCTACCAACTGCTGAAGAAGGCGAGTCTCAGGGCTTGCCTATCCCCCTTCACCGCGCCTCCGAATCTTCTCGATCAGATGTCAGTTCGGCACACACCGCAAACCCTACAGAGACGACACCAACGAAGCTTTCAGCTCCGCTACCAACAAACTTCTTCCGCTTGCCGCGTAGGAAGAATAAATCGGCTGCACCGCTCTTTGATCTTTCCCATCTGCCACAGAAAAGCAAGCCGATCAACGGCGATTACGCTGCCTCTTCGAGCTCCATGCTCGGCGTGTCTCAACCTGGAGAAGGCAGCTCCCGACCGCATAACCCATCGAGGCCTTCCTCCAGCTACAGCGCAAATGCAGATTCGGTTGTATCATGGTCAGCGGCCGATGTGGCAACAAAAGCTGCAGTGTCGCCTGCCACAGCCCTCTTTCGCCCGGGCTCCATACACTCGGGACGCTCCTCGCCTACGCGAGCGCGACTGCAACTGCGTGGTAGATCATCTACGATGAGCTCTCTAGGGCGAGATTCTATGGATGATTTCCTGAATCCAGGCACGACTCGCACTTCATCATCCACCGGGCGAAAAAGCCTGGGTGACCTTTTTGGCCTGAACAGGTTGCGACAGAACTCGGAGCTCGCAAGCGGGCGCCCTGGAAATCTTACTCCGGCAACCCCTGGCTCGAGCACCTCCAAGAACAACTCTTTACAAATCGCTCGTGAGCCGGTGGCTTTACCGGAACGACGGGAGGATGAAACTGCGGCCAAATACCTCGCACGTATCGAGCAGCTACTCAGTCGGGGCGTCATAGCCAGTGCGCTATCTCGCGGCACAGATCCATTCTTTGCCACAGTATTGCGGAGTTACATGCGCCGCTTCAGCTTTTTCGGGGATCCCATGGACATGGCTATTCGTAAACTACTTATGGAAGCAGAACTGCCCAAAGAAACCCAGCAGATTGACCGATGTCTAGAAGCCTTCGCGAATCGATACCACGAATGCAACCCCGGGATATACTCTTCACCGGACCAGGCTTATTTCATCGCATTTTCCCTCTTGATTCTTCACACGGACGTTTTCAACAAGAACAACAAGTACAAGATGCAACAAAACGACTACATCAAGAACACACGGGGTGAAGGTGTTTCCGAGTCTATCCTTCGATGCTTTTATGATAATATCACCTACACCCCTTTCATCTATCTGGAGGATGACGTTGATTTGCACGGTGATCGACAAAAGGGGAGGCGACGGACCATTTTCGCAGGCGGCACTCCAGACACAGCAATCAAGAAGTCTTCCAAGGAACCACTAGATCCTTATACGCTCATCATTGACGGGAAGTTAGACGTCCTACGACCAAGTCTGAAGGATGTTATGGAGTTGGACGACAACTACAACTACCTCGGAACAGCTAAAAGCCTGAATGTGAGGGAGCTGCAGAGAACGTTCTTCCGGACTGGTGTCTTGCAAATTGTATCGGCAAGGTCTCGACCAGATGCCTTCCGAGATGAGAAGAGCACTACCAACCCTGATACTGCCCCCCAAGGCGTAGTCGACATCAAGATTACCAAGGTTGGTCTACTGTGGCGGAAAGACACCAAGAAGAAGAAAACAAGATCCCCGTGGCAAGAGTGGGGAGCTATTCTTACGGGCGCCCAACTTTATTTCTTCCGGAATACGGCTTGGGTGAAGAGCCTTATGCACCAATACGACACACACGTCAAACAAGGCTACTACGGCGAACCAATCACGTTCAAGCCACAGCTGACTGACTTCAAACCGGATGCCTTCATGCCAATCAAGGAGGCAGTTGCGCTTGTCGACTCAACGTACAAGAAGCACAAAAACGCTTTCAAGTACGCGAGGCCGGGTGCTTTCGTTGAGGAGGTCCTTTTGGCAGACAACGAGGACGAGATGAATGACTGGCTGGCCAAACTCAACTACGCTGCTGCGTTCATGACGTCGGGTGTCAGAATGCGAGGTGTCGTCGGTGGTAATTATGAGGGTCAAAGCCGCCGCGGCATTCGAAGACTTGACAGCTCGAATAACGCACAGGTGGTTCAGACCCCAACTGGCGAGGTCAGCATCGTGAGGGGCAAAATTGATCACAAGGAAGCCGAGTCTATTCTTGCACAACGGCACGAGACTATGGCCAGATCTGTGGAGAAGGCGGATGAGGATATCTCGGCCAAGGAAAAAGAGCTGGAAGAAGACTTGAGGAATGCGCGACACTTACAGATTCTTTCTCCCATCCAGAGCAAGTCTCGCGAAGAGCTTTTGCGAGAGGCTGCGCGTATGGATGTGAAAATCAAGTGGATCAGGATGGAAATTTGGAGGATCAGATGTCATCGGGATGTCTTGAGCAAGGATCTTGAGGAAGAAGGCCTCTTGTCAGATATGTCACCTGCGAAAAACGGCTCGCGAGGAACGGAAGCGCAAGATGTGTCGCTCGACATTGACAAGCCCCTTCCACCTCAGCCAGATGATCAGGATTCGCTCTCGCTCGAAAACGGCCATATCGGCAGCAAGGCTCAGCAACACCAAAATTCCGGTTCTCAGCCAGAAGAGCCTGATGTCGATTCCCCGACCACAGAATATTTCCAGACACCTCCAACAAGTGCCACTTTCCAGTCACATAGGCACCAGAGGTCTTGGGACTCGAATTTGTCAGCGTCGGAAGAGCCTCTACGACGTGCCCGGTCTGAGTCTCAAGCTGCGGCTTCTTCTGTGCCGATTCAGTCCGGCAGAGGGAGCACTAAACCGCCCTCCACACCACAAGGCTCCCGCAGCCAGGTTGCTGAGAACAGCATAGACCAACATGCAGACGATGTCGACGCTGATGAACGCGACTTGCTCGAACAGGCTGGGCTCCTAGAGTCGCCGTCATCTCGTCACACTTTAGCTGGAGTTCGCACGGGATCTATCTCTGAAACTGGCGATCTATCGGAGCAACGTGATGCCCCCGGAAATGCTGAAAAGGCCGACAGGAACAAAATACGTCGAAGCCTGCAGAGGACTCTGAGGGAGAGCGCTGGTCACTTATCTCATCACAGGAGTAGAAAGGGCAAGGATTCAGCTTCAAGTGGAATCTCCGAAGACACGATCAGAGACGATATTCTCAGTAGAGGATCTGGTAGTTTTGTGGTGCATGGAAAGAAAGCATCAGTCATCAACTTTGGCGAGGGTCTGCAACACATGCCGACAGAAGAGAGGTTGAGGCAGAAAATGCAGGCGCAGCGAGAAGAGCCTGTATCTCCGGCAAGCCTAGAAGAGGAGGAAGACTACCATGATGCCCTTGGCCAACAGCCGACCATGAAGGAACGCCGCGAGTCGACAGCCAGCGCCAGTACTGCGACGGCAAGGAGTTTTCGCGAACTGCACCGTAAATACTCTACCGCGCAGGCTCATAAGACACCATCGCATGGAGGCAAGCTTTCGGTGCCATCCGACACGGAGAGTGAGCGTGCGTTAAGCATTTCGGAAGGTCGTCGTACACCGCTGCCGGCGATCGAGACTCAGTTTGGAGACGAAGAGGAGGCAGAGGCTGGAGAACTGCAGATGGACGAAGATCGGTCACCGTTGTCTGGGCCAATCGCGTCGAGACTTGTGTCCCCGAAGAGTCCTGCAACCAGGTCAACAGCGTCTCCCTTGGAAGAGCATGCCGGCGAGAGCGCCGACTCGCAACAGCGACAGAAGCTGTCAGGTCCGCATGTCCAGTCGGTCAAGGCTTAGAGGACCCAAATCCGCCGCAATTCATGGAACATCAGACAGCGCCTGAAGCGTGTCTCTCCAGACCTCAATGGTTTGCTAGACACCATCATCATGCGCAGAAGCAGCGACCTGACCGGCAGCGCGACTCCGATCTTACATGCAGGGTTTCAAGCTCGTCAAGGTATTCGACACGTTGAGGCTGATTGGCCCATTATTCTGAGGAGGAGGAGTCAGGCAGCGCAACTGTGCCAAAAGTTGACTATGAGTACGAATGACTCGAAGGGGCGAATGGCTTGGCAAGGAAAGCAAAAGCACTCAAGACTTCGAGAGGGCGGTACCAGGGTACAACAGGGTTACGGAAACATGGGACAGGCATGACCGTGTGCAATTTATGTAATATCTATATGCAAACTGTTGGCGGGTCCGCACAAAAGCGACACATCCGAACTCAAGAGTAGTCGCAGACAGTGGATCACAGGTCACGGGCTACCTTGTGCGGAGAGTAGAGACGAAGAAGCTGGAATACTCAAGAGCAATTACATGATGTGGTCGTTCTGAAAAGCGTGCTTTGTCGCAATGACAGTGCTGTGCCAACACTTTCGCCATCCATGCTCCCTTCTCATCAGTGACGGTTTCCAAAGGAAGACGTCATCATTTCTTGCCCTTCTTCTTCTTTTTGTTGGACGATGACGATGACGTGGGGGCTCTCTCAACCTTGACAGAGCCTGCGCCGCCCGCGAGCTCAAGTGTTTCCTCCTCCTTGACGAACCCGCCCTGCGTACTGTCGTTGGCCTTCTTCTTCCCCTTCTTGCCCTTAGGTCGATAGGATGAGCGGTCCCGCAAGGGAAGCCAGCGTTCGGGATCCATCTTCTTCCCTTCCTCAAAGTCCTTCGGAAGCTTTCTCTTTCTTTTCTTCTGCAGCCGGCTGTTCTGACCTCCGGACTTTTCAGCAGTTCGCTCCTTAGCGGATGATGTCGCTGCGGGCAGCACGGCCACACCACCCTCAACAAGCTGCTGGACATCGACATTGCCAACAAGTCCATCAACTGCAGGTAAGCTACCTAGGTAGGGCTCAACCTTAGAGCGGTCCCGCTTTCCAAAGGACGCAATCAGTCCAGCCACGGCGATGGGATCCGCGGTTGACTGCTGACAAAGCTTCTCGAACGCAGTACCTGCGACGGACAAGTCATCGGCGTCGGTTGACTTCAAGAGCTCTGCACCAGCACCTTGCAGAAGCGAGGCCGACTGGGTGTCAGACTTTTCGTTCCAGTACTTTATCGCCTTGGCCAACTCAGTAGTCGCACAACCAGCCCGGCGTTGGTTTCGGTATAGAGATACGGCCAGGGCGACAAGGCCGGCAGAGAAACGGACATCTCCTTGTTTCTGCTCTTCCAATTGAGTAAAGAGAGCTTCAAGAAGGGACACAGCGGCTTCATAATTTTTGGCAAGGACATGCAGCTGGATTGCCGTCAGCAAGACGCCAATATCGGCAGGGTGTCGCTCTGCCGCAGGCAAGATATCACGCAACGATACTTGGCTGCTATGCTCTAGTGAACGAGCAGCCACGTTGATGACCGATAGAACATTTGCATCGGAACTGGTCGTCGAAGATGGTGAAGATGCGCTAATCGAGTGTTTCGTTCGACGAGCAACACCCGAGAACTTCTGTGCACGTAGGGCAAGTGCCAATTTGTTCCGTCGTAGCCGACTATCCTGATAGTGAAAGAGTTTGGCGTCATTTGACACGGTTGGGTTGGCCTCGAGAGTACGCTGGACTGCGAACGGGTTGCTTGCGGTGTTATCCAGCGTGGAAGCGTTGTTCGTTGCTACGAGCCGTGCTTCAGCGTCGCTAATCCTACGCAAGCGAGTTAGTCTGGTTAATTTCTGGGATAGGAGGAACGACAGAAACTTAGAAACGTACTCGGAAGCTTCCAGCTGGCGGTGAAGCTTGAGAGCCTCGGTATTGTTGCCCAATCTCGAATACACATATGCCTGTTGAATTAGAATCGGTGCCATCTCTGCTCGCTTTTCCTCATCAGAGAGGTCATCAGACTCATCACAGAGACGGCTGGCGCGTTGTAGGAGACTCGAGGCTTTCGAAAGCTCTCCGCGGGCGATGCAGCCGCAGGCCAGGTTGTAGGCGAGCTCAAAGGTGTCCAAGGCTGGAGCGACGGGAGGTTGTACGACGCCGCTGGACAGCGCGGCCTGCGACTGCCAGTCCCTCTGAGCAGCTGTAGCCAGGACGTTGATGCTCAGGTCGCTCTCCTCATCTGCAGCCGCGGCCTTGTCGGATGCTAGCTCGTCGTACAGTTGCCTCGCGTCTTGGAATCGTTCAGCACGATAGGCGACTTGCGCAGCAACGTGGCTGAAGCTGCGTCCGGTGGTGGATGCCGCAAGCGAAGCAGCATCGTCCAACTTCCCCGTCTTGTAAAGAGCATAGGCCTTCTCTAGCCGGCAATCGGCCTCCAGCGTGGCGCCGCCGTCGTTGAGGGCACGCATGGCATCCTCAAACCGGTCGAGCTTCAGAAGAGCGACAACCCTGGTGCGCTGTGCGCCAGTGTCGAGCTTTGAGGTTTTCAGAGCAGCATTGGCGGCACGAAGAACTTCCTCGTGGTCGTCAATGGAAGAGGCACGCAGGAGCGATGTGAGGTTTGCGGCAGAGTCGGCAGCCATTGCGTCGAGTGCTGTTGCTCACAGGAAAGTGAGGGGTCGTTTGTCGAAGATGAACTCCTAAGGGGGGTAGCGTCAGTTGACGGATGAACGAGCAAACGGTGTTGACAATTCAACACCGCAATGTTCCCGGCTTACTTCTTGGTGGCCACTTTGGATCAGGCGGCATAAAGTCGACGTCGTGGTGGGGTGTGGTGTCTTCTCGACTTACTCACCTTCCCTGGCTTGGGTCAATTACGTGAGGCGAAGGATGGACCAGTCCAATACAAGCCATACGTCGAAGACGAATTTCAGGTCTCGTGCGGTGGCTTGCACCGATCTATGGTGGGGCAGATGAGTCTCTCTGAGCTTGGATTGCTTGCCAGTTGGCAAGGCTTCATATCAGCTGCCACACTTCTTAAACAGAAACAGCAAGAAACGCAGTGGAGGCAACCAAGGTCTATCTACCTCGTTATGTTGCTGCACGAATAGCACACACAGGAATGGACCACGCACAAGATTGATGGGGGGGGGTGGCACGTGTACAATTCAATTAACAACGCAAGTGGGGGAAGCTGGTCGATATGGCCTCAAGCAAGGTAACGTTCCTGGCGCGTTCATACTTTGGAACTCCCTCTCATGCCCCGAATACCCCACTACCTATCCAAACAGTCCCCAGAACTTCTTTCCTTTGCCATCCGAACTTCGTTTGTAAGGACGCAGAGGAAACGTTGGTTCCTGATCTGATGCTTGACGGTTTTGATCGCGGCTTGTTGTTGATCTGACCTCGCCGAGCTTGGTACTCGCCGACGCCATGGTAGATGAAGATTTGCGCTTCTTCGTCTTCGTGTGATCATGAGTGCGGGCACTGGGCGATCGCACCTGCCCATGACTGGAACTGGTTCTGTTCGAATGATGTGAGGATGTCCCAGACAGGTTTGATACTACTCGCCGCCTGGTGCGAGGCGACGCCGATAGTCGAATCGACATCTCATCAATAGCCCTGACTGTGTCGATGCAAGACGCAGTTGACAGTGACCTCAAGGATGCATAATCCAAGATCGGGTGGCCGTTGCGGCTCGCAGTCACAGCAGGCACTTGAAGCAAACGCGCCACGGCGTTGGTGAGGCGCTTGATGGCCCTTCTTACCGAGGAGCGTGCAACGGCTAAGTATGGACGACATGTTGGTCAGTACAAGACTCACCGGATTGATCGCGATGGACACGTTCTGGGTTCAGCGTTGGCTAAATAGTGTATCGACTGAACTTACCATCGCCCTTCTCCAATTGTCCGCCGAGAAGCGACAGTTGGGAGGTGTAGGCTTGACGCACCTGGGTTCGATCTGCACGGATGGCTTTACGAAGGCGCGCAGCTTGCGCTGCATCTCCATCGGACGAATGTTCGCGTGGTTTGATCCGCTTGAGGAGCAGAAGACATTGAGAATACGTCTTTAACAGGGAATCCACGGTGGACCCGAAGCGACCCATGAGGAAGAAAATGGGCAAGAGACGGGCGGGCTGATCAAGAGAGCAAGGATGGTGTCTCGGGGCATAACACACAGATACGGAACGAGGTGCGGTTATCGGACACGGTGGATCGCGAACCTCGTCCCAGACGAAACAAGGCGGGCGCAGAGACAGGAGGAGGAGGCGTGCCTTCGCCCGCAGCCTCGGCCCTGGGTTGGCTGACCAGCTTTGAGTGGTTGGTACAGAGGGGTTGCTGGAGCGCGGTAAACCCCCCCCCCTCCTCTTTCCCTTCGCCCCCTGCGTTTCCGTTCCTCCCACGACATCGGCAAGGCCCTGGGGCACATAGACTGACGCCTAGATGATTGCGAGCTGATAAGCCAACAGGCCGAGCGGGAGGTACCTGGCTGGGCCACCTGGGGAGGTCGTGTCGGGTCTGGCGGCCACTGTATCCGGGAAGTCGGCCACACACCAGGCAAGTACCTATGGTAACTACCTACCTGAGTTATCAGGTACTTTCAGGTAGGTACCTGGGTGGGTAAGGTAGTGAGTCCAGTGAGTGAATGAGTGGTATGCCCAAGTCGGTGAATTATGAATATCAAGGGGCTCAGCAGAGTTCCCTGTACCGCCCGCCTCCCTTATCCCTACCGCGCATGGCATACATATTGAGAGCTTTGAAGTGGTTCGCAAGGTCCTTGATAGTGATAGTGAGGTAACCTAGGTATCACAGGTCTCCGCCTCTGGTGGCGCTGTGTCAGACCGACTGCGTGCGGGCTAAACTGGTACAACCGCTGTGGGTGTGGCTCAAGATGCGGGCGTTATGGACTGAGTCGCGGGAGCATGCAGGAATCATCGGTATTGCGCGACATGGCACCTTGATGATGGAGCCCTCCACTGTGGTCCAACGTCCAGGACCCCTAGGACCCCTGATCATTCGGGGCCTCCCTATTGGTCTGCCCAGCATCTCCCACCCTCGAGGTGCCGTATGATACGAAAAGACGAGGCCGGTACTGACTGAGAAGAGTACACAATGTGCTGAGAGGAGGTGCGGTCTAGGTCGGGAGGTGTTGGCGGTAGCGCCCGTTCGGGCCGTTAGCCAGTGACTGCCCACGCTGCCACGTTCTGCGCGCCCGCACACCCACGTCTTGTCCACATCTTTGCCCACGCTGTCTCCCGCGCCCTCTCCCGCGCACTTGTCCAGTACTTGACTAACACTGACGGCATCCCCGTCTTTCCCGACCTGGACTTGGAAGGCTTTTCTCACCCCCTTGTGCGTACTCGCCATCCCTCGCTTTGACTCGCCTACGTACCGTCAACTCGGCCCAAGGGGCCGCTCACAGACTGCCTTGGACTGGAGACTGCAGATTGCAGACCGCGGGCCGATCGCTCATCTCCCAGCTGCATCGCGTGCTTTTCCCCTCGCTCTTTGCCCTTCGCTCTCTTTCGCTCACTCAGTCACTCACACGCGCCCGCTCTCCATCACTATCTCGCCATCCCGCCTTTTCCAACATCTCTCGTCTCCTCCGCAGCCTAGCTAACGGTGCTGACTGGGGGGGGAAAAAACGCACACCACTCTCTGAAACTTGAAGAGGGGGGGCACTCGCCTATTCGCGCTGCTGACACTGAATACTGGGCCGGGAAAGGGCAGACTCCGGACACTCTCATGGACCTCAAGCTCGCCCGTCGCCTCTACTCATCGTCACTGCCCTGCCCTTGATTCTTCGCCGCTTTCTGGAGAGCCCCTACTACCATGGACCAGCCACCGTCCCCGCTGCCTGAGGGCCAGTGTCGATACATACTTCTCGTGCCCGGCATCAAGGGTCAACGCTGCGCCTGCGCTCACTTTTCGCATAACCAGTCCACACCCGGCGCTACTTGTGACTGTGGCCATATGGCTTGCTACCATGTCAAAACAGCTGAGCAGCCTGCGGAGAAACGTGAGCTTGATCTGCTCAAACAACGCCTCGAGGTCGTGGAGCGCCAGCTAGACCGTGAGCAGCAGGGCGCGTTTGGTAGTCTCGTCAGCAGGCTGGGCGAGTTGGAGGACCGTCTTGATAAGACGCACGACGAGGCCACCCAGGAGATTAGGACATCGTATCGAAACATCAACCGCGTTTGGCAGTCGGTGGAGCTCCTTGAACAACGCTGTCTGCAGCTTCACGAGGCCATGCGCACTGAATCAATACGAGTGACCAAGATCGACCATCAGATGAGGTCCGTTGCTGATCGCCAACTGGAGCTGGCGGATGCTGATCTCGGCCTGGAGGAGAGGCTCGACAATTTAGAGACACATCATGTTCCAGTTTCGCCGGCGAGTCGAGCCTCCACGCCTCAGTTTTCCCATGCTACCCAGAGCTCTGTGCCGGCTGAAGCTAAGAAGCCGACCCCTCTACCCATTTCTGTTGATCGAACCCCTCCCGCCAAAGGGACCTCCGGACCCTGGACAGTTCACATCTCTCTATTGCCTTCATCCTCGCAACCATTTCCTTTCGAAAGAGACACAAATGCTTACAAGCGATGCTTGTCACGCGGGCTGCACCGCACCGTCGTTGTAGCTGGTGCGGACAGTCATTCCTTTTGTGCTGCCGTCTCCACCGCTTTCGACGCTGTCCTCAAGGGCCGCCCATGGATGCCGCTGAAGGCCAGGCTATGCGACGCAACACAGCTGCGAGGGCTGCCCATGCTACGCCCGTTGGATAAGAAGTTGGTCGATGCGCAGTATGATCTTGAGTTCTTGCGGGAACACTGTGCAGTGAGCGATAGTAGTGGCAACGTCGAGTCGTTGTACATCGCGATGCGCCACGACACTCTCTCCTGGCACTTTCTACGCCGATCGCCCAGGTTTCTCGACGGCCTTGAAACTTGCTGGTCATTCGACCCATACCTAGACCCAGATGACGCACAAGAAGACGATGATTCGGCTTGCGACAGCCGTCCATCGGCGGGGCACATTATGCCACAATTATCATCCTTGAAGCGACGGGCGTCGGATGCGACGCAAACCTCTGTCTTCGGATCTGCCTCTGTGGGAGGTGAGGGCGAAAACGCGCGGAAGAAGATGACCATTGTCTCCTTGTCCACAATCATAGACCTTCCGAGGCGTGTCGAGAAGGTGTAGGATAACGCAAAGACGTTACGGCTACTCCGTTGGACTGAGCTCCAAATGTTGCGATACGACCATATAGAGTATAGAATTATAGACAAACATTTGCGACGCAAGTGGGACCTACCCTGCGATGATGGTGCCAAGTTCATCAACCCTGATGCGCCGCAAGCGAGAATTTGCAAAGCACATGCAGATTGAAATACACCTGTGATGTATGATCTTTGCGGATGAAACAAGCGCGAGATGCTTATGCCTGCATGCTCTTGAGGACAGGACAAGATAGGTGCCGACTTATATGTGTTCGTCTACAACGAGCGCTACCTGCCTGCTTCTCCTACCAGCTAGCTACCTGGTCGTTGGTCACTTAGCTCCGGTAATAAGTGGAGCAAACTGTCGTCGCTGGTGACATGAACAAGACAACGAACGGTCCATGCGGCACGCTCGCATCTAACCCCATCGAACTGGCGAGGCTTGAGACCTTGAGAACGTATGACTGCACCTTCTCCCAAGCCCTTGTCGTCGGCGACCGTTACTTTCAGATCTCAAACTTCATCTATGAGCGTCGTCGATTATCCTCTCTTCCTCTTTCAGAAACTAAGTGCCAGACGTGGCGCTTCAACTACTTATTCCCTTCCGCGACTGAAACCGCGCAGCAGTCTTGCCGGGCAAACATCCCCTAGCAAAGGAAGCCGGCCAGCCCATTGCGACTCGACACATTCCTTGACATTTCCAGCACATTCGCCAATCGCACGCTGGTGGCATTTCCAATCGCTCGACCCCAGGACAGCACCGCTTCTCGACCACCTTGGACTGCATTTGCGGCAAGCGCTTTCATCATGGACTTCGACATGGTAATGGAGGACGTGGCGGAGAGCCCGACGCGAACTGAAGCTGCGACTGATGATCAGATGGTATTTCCGGCACCTACAGCTAGCCCCTCTTGAAGCATATGCTAACCCACATCCTCCACCAAGATCGCGCCAGCGTGGGATACCGCGCACGATGAGCCCTTTGCCGACAGCGAAAGCACAGCTATTGTGCCCAACAAGGTTTACATCCGAGGACTTGACACGTTGTCGACCGAAGATGTCAAAACTTTTGTCGAAGACCACTTTGGACGGGTAAATAAGATTGAATGGATCAATGACGAGTCAGCCAACTTGGTGTTCCAGTCCGAGGATGCTGCCCGAGATGCGTTGCGGGCTCTGAGCGCGCAACCAGAAGCAGCTGCCCAAACCTCTGCTGGGGAGACTGTCCCAGCGAAGGACATACCTTCCAAACCCGAAGTCAACTTGCAGATCCGAATTGCACTGCAAAGTGATAAGAAGGCGCCTGGGGCAGCTACTCGGAGTCGTTACTACTTATTCCACCCTGATCAGGACCCCGAGGAACGGAGACGACGCGAAGGCAGACGGCGATATCGTGAGCGCGAAAATAATGGCTACCGTGGCCGTGACAGTTACGCTCGGGATCGTAGAGGTAGCGATGAGATTGAGGTATTCGACGCGAGCCTCTACGACGATGACGAAGCAACCTTGGCGAGTCGCGCCGCCAAATCACGCACTCAGCAACGGAGGTCCCGCTCGCGAGGCTCAGCATCAGGGCTGGGTGGCTCAAGACGGACCAATGCCGAAAAGGAGCTCTTCCCTAACAGGTCATCTTTGGGCAATAAGGGATCAACGCGGAATCGGTCAGCTTCTCCCTTACGCGATCTACTTGACAGTCGCCCCGTGGTATTACAGGATGTCGATTCAGGTACCTCAAACAACAGAGCAACGGCTTCGGGCATTCGGCACAGATTGGCGGAGGAGAGGGCTACGAAAGAGCTCTTCCCAT